TGAGACTGTTTCAGGTTCAAAAAGACTACTTTAAAATAGCTTTAAAACTTCCCAGCTGGCTGGCTACGGGATGAAGTCTGGAGGGCACTTGTCACTCACTCTCTGCCTGCATCCTTTTGGGTGCTCCTTCCACACCAGCTTCCTGATGCTCCTCTGTCAGCCTCGGTGTGCACTCCTGCCTTGCAGCTCTCTTCCCTCCTCTGCACCTCATGTTTTCCTTTTGCCATCCTTCATTTCTCTTTCTCTTTTCAAAAAACCCCTATACCCCCTTATCACTTGAGTTCTCCTTATATCCTTCTGCATCTTTTTTTGTTTTACCACCTCATTTCTTTGTCCTCACTTTTCTTTCCAGCTCTCCAACAGCTGTGGTGCCTCAGGGCACCCCAGCTTGAGTTTTTCTCATTGTTCATCCAAAATAGCTTTCAGCTTTGAGTCTAATTAAGTTCTTGTTATTAAAAGAACACAAACACACAGAACACCTCCCTCCTTTTCTTTCCAAGAACCCAGCATTATGAAAATTGTAACAAAAATGTGAGAGTTAGTAATGCTGGTGGTGGTGGTGTACTGTGCTGGTGCTGTGAACTATTCCTGAATGCAGAGGAAAATTTGAGTTTCCGATTCTTTTTTATTTAAAAATTTCAAGGTCGGTATTACCTTGATATGTGGTCAACTTTAGAACAATATGAAAGTATTTGATTTGCTGTGGCTGACATAGGTAAAAAATTTTGTTCTGGGGTTTGTGGGTTTTTTTTGTTTGTGATGGTTTTAAAACATGAATTCAAAAAGGTCCCTGACCCCACTATAGCCTGAATACAGCAATTATAAAAGATGATTTAATCTGTAGTTTTCATTTCATGCTTTTAGAGGAAGGATTGATTCAATCTCTCCTTCCCTCTTCTCCCTCTCCCTCTCTTCCCCTCTGCCTGTCCCTCTCTTTTCCTTCCGTTCCCCCTTCCCTCTCTCCCTCCCTCTGCACCTCCTCCACACCACTCCTGACTGCTCTTTCCCACTTACGGTGAAGGAATGAAACCAGGTAAAGGCTCTACAAGCTGCTCTTCTCACTCTCGGGTCATCTGTGCTCCAAAACGTAAAGCATAATTTCTCGCATCTTTTGTAGATATAAGAAAGAGGGTCTCCATAACAAAGTTACCAACTTCAAAGAGGTGAATATTAAGAGCTTAAATGTTTCCCGCCAGTTCGGGAAAACAAAAGGCTCCATGATAGTTCGGTGATTTCTCATTGGTTCCAGGTACTCCCCTGTTTTAAAAAAGAAAGAAAAGTGAAGGTAATTTTTAACGTGCCCATAGTGTCCGTGCTGTGGTGCAAAGCCAGTCCTGAGGCTGAGCTGGAAGCCAAGTTTGCTGCTGCTCCCTGTTCTGCTTCTGGGGCAGTTCCGCTGATGTGGCTCCAGCTCTGCCGGTGGAGCCCCCTGCCCCGCTGGGCTTCTGGCGAAAGGGCCACACCAATGCCTGAGATATGACATGATCTGGAGTTCTTCCTAGGCAGACACCTCTGTCTCCCCCTGGACGAGCATGTGAGATTCTTAAGTTGTTTACTAGGACAAGGATTTGTGGGGAATCCAAGCTTCAGCTTGTACAACTTGCTCAGGTGAGTTTAGGCATGACAAATTCTTCTGCTTCTCCTGTTTTGCATCAAGTGTGTACAGGTCAGCTAGTCTTTTTTATGTGACTTGCATATTGCCCGAAGCCTATATTAGTGATCAATTTTATTTGCAGCTGCTTGTCGTCTTTCTTGCTACCGATGCAAAGGACTGTAATGCCTGAGACCCCCCTGGCCTCTGGTGATGGTACTGTTATTTATTCGTTCCCCTAACAGTGTACAACAGACACCATTCACTTTAAATATCACTTCTTCACCAGAAAGTCTTTTGTTTACAAGTATTACAGTATATTTAGGACCAGGTGTGTGGTAGAAAACATTTTTTTTTCAGTTTCTTTTTCCTGAAGGTGTATGTTTGATGGCTCCTGCAGAGACATTGTTGTCCCTGCTGTGAGAAATGTCCTTGTGGAATATGAAAGATAAAAACTTATTTGTGAAAGAGAAGAAGAAGATGGATTCTGTGGCTTGAAAACAACAAAAACATTCAGGAAGGCTTTTGTAATTCACTGTTTTAAAAATTGACTAATTTTAAAGCTGATCATGTGCAACAGAGCACAGAGGCCTCTTTAAGCACTGGCACAGTCCAGTAAGGGTGATACAAATCCTTGATCTTCTAAACTATAACTTTTGAGGAGCTGTGTTCTCCAGAAGTGAAAATGGGTAATAAAAAGCAGGTCCTGTTGCTTAGCTGATGACTGAGTGTGAATAGAAAGTGCTTGCAGATTTTTCTCTGAAAATGCCTGAGAGGGAGTGCTATATATTTGTTAGATGTCTTCTGGAAAGGCACTTTGGTGTAACCTTTGCGGGGTGTGAGCTGGGGAACAGAGCGAGTCAGGGGTGCTGAGACAGAAAGGATGGAAAATGCAGACAGTGAAGGACATCTCAAGGCTTCCAATAAATGATATAAAAAGACACTGGAAGCCTGAAGAGAAGTTATTCCGGAGGGGGATGGGTTTGGAAGGAACTCATGCTGTTGCTATGAGCTTTCTAGAAGGTAGATATATAATTCCCAAATTAATAAAATCTCAGGAGGCAAGAAAAACTGTAAGAAATACATGTAGTTTTACATACAGAGTAGGAGACTGAGAGCATGGAGAAAAGAGGCAAACGTAAGAACACTTTAAATTATAAGCACAAAGTTTAATGAAAAACAAGAATATCTAAGTACAAATTATTTTTCTATTGTGCTAATCATGTTTTCTTTCACATTTGCATATAAATTGCACTGATTGAACCTGAGATGCTTTAAATATTGGCGTAGTTGAGCCTGGTTAGGTGTTGCTACTTCCATTTTAATGTCTTGTTTAGGCTTAAATGAGACCCTGTTAACTGTGCAGAGCCAAGCATTTCTGAGTTTTCTTAAATCCATACAATTTTTTTATTCAAATATGAACTTAATTTTCATTCATGCTTGTAAAAATATCTCAACTTTGTGCCCAGGGTTGCGTATTATTTGTTCAGTTCTAATACTCTGTTTAGTATAAACACAAACGTAAAGGTTATCACTCCCCAGAAGTGTGGCAAACTTGGGAGGCAAACAGGAAATCACAGGATTTTTAATGTCGTTCTGCAAATTAGTAGTTTTGTGCATGCTGTGGGAGAGGTGGCAATTTCAGAGGAACTTGACTGAAGGGAAGAGATGTTTGAAGCTTGGTGGGAGTATGGGGTGGGAAGATAGGCAGGATATGTTTTGTGGACAAAAAAAATAAAAAAAGATGGGAAGTAAATGAGTTTATATAAAGGTTGCTGAGGCTGATACGCTAATAGAACATAAACTGAGTAGGAACATTGTAAAAAGCTCCATCAAATATTTACATTTTTGATGTTGGTGCTCAGGTACTGTGTAGTGTTAAGTTGACAATGTTGACTGGAATAGGGTTGTGCATTTTTTAATGGAGGGGTAATTTTGGGACCACTTTTGTTTCTTTTGGGATATTTATTTCATCTATTTCTTCTTCTCTTGAATTTCTCTTTTCTTCAGCTGCTACTGCTCTACCATTAAAATAGTTTTAATGACAAATCTTACTCTGCAAGCATGTACCATTATTTTTCTTCCTTAACATTTTTCTAGCATAGAGGCTCGTAACTGTTGTAGATGCCAAAGTTTTCAGGCATGTTTCCAGGAAGCATGATATGAATTTTATAACCCCTAGACACCAGTCACTGCAGGTTGAGGGGGATGGGGGCTTGTTTTTATGCCAAAGTCTGGCAAAGTCTGTCTAATCTCATTAGCTAATTCTTTCACTTGTGTTTTTGTAGGCTTTAAATGCTGACTTTTCCCCTTCCCTCCCCCCACTTTTTATGAGGAGGGTGGTCTGGTTCAGCTGGACTGTTCTCAACTATTTTGTCAATTTTTAGAAATTCTTTATGTGTTACTTTCCTGTCTGTACACTGTTGACTTGAAACTCTGTGAAATTATCCTGTTCAAACATTGGTGCACTATTTATTTACAAAACATTATATAAAATAAGCAAACATAGACTTTTAAAATCTTCTTGTAAATGTGAAACAGGAACAGAGCTTATAATATTGTTTTCCAAGTGTCTTTGTTTTTCTAAAGGTAGTCTGATACCTAATTTGTTTTTTAAAATCTGTCAAAACTGGATCAGTAAGTCTAAAGTCAGGTTTTTGGAAAGTTACTGATTTTTCTTTAAGAGCATTAGTAAAAATAGTCATATGACTGGAAACATTAAACTGTTAAGTAGTGCCTTGTGAACTAAAAGCTGTTGTAAGGAAGTCTCACATATAGACATAAAACTACACCAGCGTAATCCTGACTATAAATATTTGGGACTAGAAAGGGATTCTTCTTTTACTCAGTACTAGAAGAATCATTCCCAGCTCACCTGTTTGTTCAGCTTGGTGCCTTCAAAGATGCTTCACAGCGGCTCTGCTGGTGGAGATGAAGTGGGGGTGTGATGGAGACTCAGTTCACCCATATGAGTTTCATTCCTTGTACAGGAGATTTTGCTGAAATAACTACATTTAATTCTGCATACAAAGCTGTAACCTCGTTTCAGGGCAGTCAAAAGGTAGAAATTTGGGCTCAAAAGCAAATTAATTATCCACCAACTGCTGAATGGTGCCTCGTGCGTAAACAAAAGGCATTTACCTCATACCCTATTGATGCATCATGTAATAAATGTGAGTTATGGGGTTTTTGTCTTATCTCTCTCTTCCTGCAGTGTCTATAAAAGTGTTTCTCACTTGTAACAGATGGTCAGAGCACAGCTTTGAAATTTATCTGGATATGAAGCCCTGTTGATTCCATTAAAAGTGAAGAGTTTTCATGCAGAGGGAGACAAGGAGGGATTTATTGTTCTTACAATTCTGATGATGAGGTATTTCATACAATGCCTTCCTTTCCTTTTTGCTTGCAGGTGATGTGCCTTCAGGATTTCTTTGGCGATGATGACATTTTTATTGCATGTGGACCAGAAAAGTTCCGTTACCAGGATGATTTCTTGCTGGATGAAAGTGGTAAGAAGATGTCTTTTTTAAACTGTTTACAACCAAAGTAAAGGGCAGGTTTCCATATCATGCTAATTAAGCCAAAACTGTATCACCTAAATTGATTTCAGAAAGAGGATAAATATATTTATTCTTTAAATTCTGAATATGGAAAATAAAAGGTAACTGAAAGCAACAACAAAGCTGCCAACGGAAACGTATCTGCTTATGCAGCATAAAACTTTATGTCAGTCTGAATTTCATATACCATAGGAAATAGTAATGTGTTTGGTGGAATCCTATTTTGCAAGGTCTTTCTTAGTGTTTTGTCTTTATTTTCTCTTTGAATTTATTCAGCTTTATCACAATCTTTCAACCTCATAGTTCTTACAATTGAGATTTAGATAATGCTTCACAGGTAGTATGATAAAGGAAGATAGGTACAATTCTGTATGGAAGATAAATACAATCAGCAAATGCAGACAAAGTCATCTGAGAAAATTCAGGGAGTTCTGAGACTGACTAATACAATAATGTAATCAATGTATGTAATCCTCTAAGGAAAATGCATGTTTGATTTGCAAATACCTTTATTGTTACAAAGAATAGTCCTAACTTAGAAACGACAGTAGTAAGAAAAATAGCTATAAGCTTTGTGCATCTGAGGAAAAAAAAAAAAAAAAAAAAAAACCACTAAATTGAGTTTATTTTTGTGTAGAGCAAGACCCAGAAAAAGTTTTATTCACCCTGCACTCTCTCTCAGTCCAGGGTATGTTTATAATCCACTAGTATCAACTCCTTTCTCCTTTTATCTTTTTTTCAAAATATCAAAGGTCTCAAAGAACAGCTGACTGAAAAATCAGTCAAAAAAGAATTTATTACAGTAGCAACTACTTCATAATCACCGTGTGCGTGCTTGTTTAACGTCACCACTTCACCACTGGTTTTGATGCAAATATACATTCAAAATGAAAGATAGTGCAATTGTATTTCCCTGACTGACCTGTGGAACTGGAAGGCTTCGTGGTTTACCTGGATCCAGACAAATGCTCCATTAGCTTGTGCAGGAGCCGAAGAAGCCAGCTTGCACAGACCTTATGTTGTGAGCTGAAGGATGAGTCTGAAAAAGAAGGTATCTTTACTGCTGGGCAAGGGAATGACATTTTATATCAGTCACAGACAGAAGCAAGAACACATTCTGCCTTCCTCTAGAGGACCTTGTAATATGGAAGTAAAAATCAAGTAGTGCATCAGATTTGCTCTTTGCAATAATTAAATTGCTGTAGTTGCCTCTAAGGTAAAATGTACTAAATGTGGAAAAGTAACTTTTGCCACCTTTAGGACAGGAATTAGAAAGGTAAGGGGGACATATTTGGCAGCAGGTGAGTTTCCCAGGTGGCGATGTGGCCAGCATAAGCCGTCCTTGCCTTTAGTGAGAGGAGAGCCAGGTAGATGACTGCACAGTCTGGATTCACTGATATCTCTTACCTGAAAGAAGACACTGGTGGCTGCCCGATGTCTCCTCACAGTGAAACCTGTGGCAGTTTTCCCAGAGCTGACTCAGGGAGAAGCACTGACAGCAGACTTGTCTAAATCCCTTTTTGAAGCACATAGCTCTGTTTTTGGAGGTCTCATGTTAAAGTACAGACATGGCCTGACTCTGCCTAGCTTTTATTTGTCTGACATACAGCATCATCTCTTTGAGTAAGCACTATCTTTCTCTGGAACACTGGTGTTTAAAACCATATTATTCTGAGCTGAAAAAAAACCACCCAAGCTTAAAATCTCAGCTGAAAATACAATTTTAGCAATTTGTTGTGGTGTTTGCTTTTCTACTAGGTGAAGATTCAGTGAACATTGACTGTTTTGACTGTACAAGTGAAGAAAGAGCAAAAAATCAGACTCCAGATTATGTCTCGAATTCCTTTGTGAAGTGTACATCAACTTTATTCTTTGTTTTGGGGGAAGTTTGGTATCAGAAAATTTGTTTAGGTTTCTTGCCATTAATAGCTGATGTACCAACTGATAATAGATTTAGTCAGCCTTCTCAAGGCAGGAGCAAGATTTGGAGAGAGAATTAAAAAACAACTGAGCTTTTAGCTTATTTTGCTTGGCAAATGAAGTTTGTGTGATCACACTGTGTATCTGTGTGTTCCTCATAGTTAATCTAAGAACATTAAAATTATTAGCAAGTGCTGTCCAACTGTGCAAGGCTTGGAAAGCCGGTTGCTTCCCTGAAAAGCAACTTGAAGCAACACTGTGCTAGTCTCTGTCACTACATCCCTCCAGGGTTCCCCATTTTCAGCCAGATGATGAGAATAACACTTAAGATGTTGCAGCTTAAGGAGTAAAAAAAAAAAAGCAAAATTTGAAGGTGGGAAAGAAAAGTAGAGAGAATAAATACTAAAACAATCAGGGTTCTGGGCTTTTGGGAATTACTTACCAGGGAGGAAGAATGCCCTTGTTCTGTGGTCTAGGTTCAGAGCTCCTGATACTAGAGGTGAGCAAGAGACAAAGTTTCTGGGATTGGAAAACCAGTCACCTGTACTGGGATTCATTTTAGCTAACACTAGGTATCAAGAGAGCAGGTACCTGCCACTGAGTCAGTCCCACTAGGTTTCTTACCCAGTAAATAAAACTGAGACCTATTGACAAAGTAGATGGTAGATGTTTGATTGGCTCAGTTGAAGGTCGATGTTTAGAACAGTTCCTGTGAATTATGCTCCAGAAATGCCTGGATGCTTTTGTAAAGGGATCTACACGCCTGATTTAGCTGTTCTTATCTACATAGTTTTTCTCTAAAGTTGTTTAAAAAACTTTTAGAATGCCATTAATTCCACCCCATCAGAAAGGAAAAGTCTAAAGACTCATCAGTCTGCACTATTTCTAGTTGTCTTTCGTTGTCTGGCTCCCATGGCTTGCTCCTAGCACAAGGTAACACTTTCTAAAAACCATAGAATCAGAAATTTAGAAAAATCAGTAAATCAGTCTCCCTGTCTAAGTGTGAGATTAACATTCCCTATTTCATTTCTGACATACTTGTCTAACATGCCCCTTTAACGCCTCTGATGAGGAGGAATCTGTAACCTCCTGAGACATTCTATGCCAGTGGTGAACTCTCCTTGCTGTTTTTCAGCTATCTTACCCCAGATTCCCTTGCTATAAATGAAGTCCACTGCTATTTTTCTTATCTGCTATGAACATGGAGCGCAGATGATTCCTTTCTCTTTGAAAAATCTGTGGACTGCCATTGAGCCTCATCAATTTTCTCTTCTTTAGGCTGAACAATTAGTTCATCCTTTTATTGCTTTGACTTCAAGCTCAAACCTGTCCTTGAAAGAGGGAGTGTGCTCCTTCTTTGTATCATCTCCTTTCTCTGTTTTATGTCTTTCAGGAAGAGGCATTGCATGTCCCCTTGGCAATCAGTTAAGAAAAGTCACTTAATTAGGGATCCATCAAAGAGCAAAACAAGCAGTCAGCACTATAAGTTGCAGTTTTTTCTCTCTTCCTTGATGTACAGATGGTTTTCATATTAAGCACACTGTTTATTGCATGAAATACAGAATCAATAGATACCAGCCCCATTGTAATTCCTAGCAATCATCTCCATATCTGACCTAATTGGTCGATATGATAGCCACACATACTTCCATCAAGAGAACTGCAGATGGGACATGAAGATGCATGGGAATGACCATAAAATTGAGAAGTAAAGACTCCTTGTTTGTCAAGCATTAGTGGCGATGCTATTTTCATAGAAACTTTTTGTGGGAAATGTAAACACAAAAACATTGTATTAATGAAACACACATTACATCAGCCAGCTTGTAAGAAGAAAAATTCCTCAGCATAGAATATGGCAGTGGCTGCTTCAGGCATTGTTAGCTTGCAGTTCTGGAAACTTTCCCAGAAATCCCAGGTTTTCTTTAACTGATGGTGGTTCAATTTTCAAAGAGAAGAAGTCAGAGGATGCTTTTCTGTAGCCCTAAGCTGCGTGTTGGCAGAGATTAGGGTTTAAGGGCCACAGTCACAAAAATATTTACAATCAGCTATTATTTAGGCACCTAAATAGGATTTGGCAATGTAAATAACTCATAGGATTGGCCCTAAATGAGAACATGTCCTTGGCTTGTACAGGTATTTCTTTCTTAGCACTGTAAAACATGAGAGTTTTGAAGGCTGGTGATATCAGACTTAATTTTTTAAAAATTAAATTATTTTTTATGTTTAGTTAATATTGTTTGAGAGCTTTGGAAACTTAAGAGTCACCCAAACCAAAGTATGACAAACTTCATCACATACTGAGATGCATCATGTAAAAAGGCTGCAATCTCACTGACCAAAGCCAGTGTCTGCCTCCAAGCAGAGTGTAACCAACATAGAATGTCTGGATGTGAAAACAACTGCAGATCGCTTGTCAAGAGCATATATTACTGTTGTGGAAACAATGACGAGAATGACTCTCTTCTAGGGGAAAATTAAGACTGGAATCTTTGAAACCTAATTTCACTTTGACTTTGCTGGCCTGTGTTAGTCCTCAGCTCAGCATCTCTGTGCCAGCAGTGTTACTGCTTCATCTTGCCAGCAACAGACAACTTGCCAGGAAAATCTGAGTCCTGTGGCGTCCGCACACGTGCGTGTGCGCGTGGAGGCATGCACACGCATCTGATTCAGTAACTGCCGTTAAGGTCAGGAGTATCATGTTTATGCCTGTTAATAACTGTCAGGTTTCTGTAACCCCGATTACTCTGTCCTTCCTAAAAGAGGGAGGAAGGGGAAATCAGTTATAGTCCTCGTCTACCCTGATTTATAGGACAGAAACTGATGTGTTAAGCAGCTTTTGGCTGGACTTAGGAGTGGAGAGTAGGCTGGCTGACTTACTCTGCTCTCATCAAAAACTCGTGCTTTGGCAATTGGAAAGTAATGGTGGGTTCTGGGGACTTTGAGATATAACTTTGCTTTCAACAGAGGCATAAATATAAAGTGTTCCAGTGCAGTGTGATATTTTCAAATGTCAACAACTGCTGGGC